TTCACAGTAATTTATGCAATTGTAAACTAGGTAAGGAAAAATTATCTAAACTTATGTTGTTCAATGTAGTAACTACTAGTCACAGAAGACTTTAAATTAAAGTATAAGTAAAAATTCACTTCCTCAGTTGTACTATTCACCTTTCTAGTGTTCAATAGTCATGTAACTCGTGGCTACTATATTCTGTAGCACAGATGTAGAACATTTTCATCTTCACAGAAACTTCTGTTGGATAGATTTCATCTAAATCATTCCTCTCATTTTCTGTGGAAGGGTATCTTAATTAAGATATATAGCTATTCTCACATACTAAAGAAAATTCCCAACTCATCTTCTCATCATTTGGAACATTTAAAAATATCAGCCACCACACAGGCTATGGATCTATTTTTAAAGGCATGGGGAGTGACATCGTCTTTTAACTCATCACTGGGATGTGACAAGATTGAAAAAAAAAAAAAGACAAGAAAAACCTATCTTTTTAAAAAAAACTTCTCCTTCTTTGCATCTTTTCTCAATAACTATCAGAAAATCATTATGCCCCCCTGCCTGACAAGGATATTTCCAGTATTAATCACAGAAGGATGCACTGAAAGGAAGAACACAGTGCACAGCTTAGCCTTTAAAAGCTGAACAGAGAATGATTTGCCCTGAATTTGGAGTTATCCATATGACTAAACTGAATCATCCAAGCAAGTAAAAAGGAATGTTTTTGTTAACTTGACTCCAGTTGGTTGTATGAGCTAAAACATCCCAAGGATAATTGTGTAATCACTGTAAAGAGTAATTGTTGGGCGCCTGGGTGGCTCTGTCGGTTAAGCATCCGACTTCGGCTCAGGTCATGATCTCATGGTTTGTGAGTTCAAGCCCCACGTCAGGCTCTGTGCTGACCGCTCAGAGTCTGGAGCCTGCTTCAGATTCCATGTGTCCCTCTCTCTCTGCCCCTCTTCCACTGGCACTTTGTCTCTCTCTCAAAAATAAAATAAAAACATAAAAAATTAAAAAAAAAAAGAGTAATTGATAAATACTCATCCCTAACGTGCTCTGTCACTCTTAAAGTCAGTTTGGGTGGATGGGATGAGGACATTAAACACATATTGTGGATTTGTTCTTTTCTATCAGACTTAGATTTTCAGTTATATTCATTTGAGTTGGAATAAATGTTACAGTCTGTTCAGCAGACACTCAGAATTACTCTTATCACCATTCCTGGAGGGTAAAATATAAGTGCTTGGGAAAGAAGAAAGACAGTCGGTCCCATGATCACTCCTATGAGCCTGACATTCTGAAATAGAAGCTAGAATTCTTTTTTTTTTTTTTATCACTATCTTATCTTTTTCTTCTTCTTTTTTTTTTTTTAATGTTTATTTTTGAGAGAGAGAGAAAGAGCATGTGTAGGGGAGCGTCAGAGAGAGAGGGAGACACAGAATCCAAAGCAGGCTCCAGGCTCTGAGCACAGAGCCCGATGTGGGGATCGAACTCGTGAACCACAAGATCATGACCTGAGCTGAAGTTGGATGTTTAACCAACTGAGCCTCCCAGGTGCCCCTAGAAGCTAGAATTCTCAAGAAAATTTCTAAATAGCTACCACTTAATAGAACATCTTAAATTACTTTAGTACCTTTTTATAAGATTTTATTTTTTAAAGTAATCTCTGTACCCCTCATGGGGCTTGAACTCACAACCCTGAGATCAGGAGTCAGATGCTCTATACCAACTGAGCCAGCCAGGTGCCCCTCTATTTCTCTTAAAAACAGTTTGACTCCTAGTAGATTTTAATAATCTTAAAGCACATATAGTCCTTTCTCTTAATTTTAAGATTGTTTGTTGTGATACAAAATCATACTTAAGATGTAAACATATGATTAGATCATTAACTAGGAAAAAAAAAACCTGGCATCTATGTGCAGGTGATCAGATGACATAAGCAGTCTGGTTTTAATTTGTGGCCAGTACTGATTGTAACTAAAAGAGACTTGCTCTTTTTGTGGAATTGGCGGACTGTTTCCCTACATCTGGAGTTAATAAAGTCTTTGAGACCACATCAGTTGCGCTTTGCCGCAAGAACTCTTTGATCTGAAAAATTGAGACTGGCACAACTGCTGCTTCATAACATTGCATCTATGTTTTTGCAAGCTGTGGTTGAGATACCAAAAGTAAAGTTACTTGGCTGGTGTTAGAAATGCTGTTAGATGGGCCTCTTAGGGAACCTTGTTTTTCAAAACATTTTTATGGTGATAAAAACTTTGAACTTATGTTAGTAAATAAAATGACAAACTTACAGTAGTTTTTACCGTTTTCATTTATAAGATTGATTTTTTTCTAAGTCCATTTATTTTTCAAAATGTGTTTATAAAGACTAACATTAAAAAAAACTTTACCTCTAAAATGAGCCCTGTTTTTTTCCATACAGCTTAAAATTTTTACATAAGAATAGGCAAGTCTCTCCTGCTTTGTGTGGGGTTTTTTGGTTCTCTTGCTTTCCATGACCACGATCATTAACCATTATCTGATCAGCGTATCTCCTTGATTTGTAAATCAGTTTAGTCACATTTATCCTTTATTTGCTTTTATAACTGCAAACATTTAGGATTTTTTAAAGTGTAAGTATATCATGCATGGAATACAGTGAATTGAATGGGAATAAGAATAAGTAAATATAAATTGATAAAATACACATTTAAATGGCCATATTATATAGTTTTTTTGTGTGAGATGGCACATCAAAACTGAAATTGTTTTTCATAAGTTGGAGGCTTACACAATGTTTCAATCTATGACCTGGATAGAATTAGAGAATTTTCTATTTCCTACTTTGAGATCAAAGATGGTGTATATAGTAAATAAGCATTTGTACCAAGAGGCATAATGCTATCTTCTGAATTTTATTCTCATTTGTATTTTCTTGCTGTGTCTATGGATTTACTTTATTCTTCATCATTTGTAGTTTCATCCTCGTTTAGGAAAATCTATGTATAAAGGGGACACGGGACATCTAGCTGTGGCTAAGTTTAGGTAGTGAAACTGGATTAAAAGAAAAAATTGCGAAGTTCCTTTCCTGAAAACTTTTTCCTGCCCATCAGCCTGTGTAATACATTCCAAACACAACTGTATATACCCAATTATTTCATTCTGACACTACCTCATATAATAGCACTAAACTAGAAAAATGTATTTAATATGTATAATGGGGAAGAAAACACATTTTATCTGCCAAATTTCTTTATCTAGGGTCCTTCTAGGTAGTTCTTAGAAATCTGTCTTGTCGTGAACTTCTCAGGTACCACAGGTGTATGTTTTTACCTCTGGGATGTGAGAGGAAACTAACCTGAATGCCAGTCCATTAAAAATACACACCTATGTTAGTATTGAAACAACTAGCAAGAAGAGTAAAAATTGACTTTTTAACCTTTTATTTAGGATGAATTGTTTTTTAAGTAGAAATGTGCAGACAAAAACTATAAGGAACATTCTTCAGGGACTGAACAAGGGCAGTATTGGCAGTATAATGGCTCCTACAAGAATGATAGAAAAATGATTGAGATACCATTAGCTAATGCTTAGAGCTTACTGTGCTAAACATTGTATATGTATTATCTCATTTGATTTTCCCATCAACCCCCTAATGCAAGTACTATTAGCACCATCTTACCAATGAGGAAATTGAGTCTTGGAAGGTTAGGTGATTTGTCAGAAGTCTTTACAGTTATTAAATGCCTCAGAGGAAGAATAAATGAGTATGAATGATGGTTTATGTAAATAAAATCTTGGCCCCCATTTTAATCTCAGTGTGTGCTTCGTCAACTTTTTTATTAGTGCATAGACAAACATGTTTGCTCGGGATAAAATACCAGACTGTGTAGAAGGACATAAAGTAAACATCCTCTGGAAGGATACCTCTATGTCCAGAGGTATAACTACTGGATTTCTTATGTATAATTACAGAAATTTTCTATGCTTATGCTAAAAATACATGTATGATTTTTATACATGCTCCCATAATTTTAATAAGGGAGCTACTTGCTTCCACTTAAGTGAACACTTAGGATTTTTATTTTGGAGTAAAAGTTAATGGATATACCCTTATCAAACTAAAGAAATATGTTTCATACACCATTCAGTAGGACACATTTCCATTCTTCCTGACTCTTGGTTTACTTTTGCCTTTACAGAGCATGCATCACCTTAATTGTTCTTTGTTTTCCTTCTTGATTTTAGTAATCACCATGAGAATGGTTTTATCATGTTTTGATTATTAAGGATATTTGGCTGCCCATTTAGTTTTGCAGAGAAATGACAATTTTGGCCATTTGCCAATTCAAAATGTTCATATTTTGCTTATCTGAAGCAAAGGTTTACCAAAGGAAATTAATACTGCTCTGATAAATTAAATGAGATTTTTCTTATAGCTGTACCAGACTTAGAAGTTTGCTTGAAATTAAAGAAAACCCCTCAGCAGAATTTGGTTTTAATTTTGCTAACCTTACTAATAAGTTAAACAAGTTCCTGAAAACCCGTGTTGGGCCTTTCATGGATATCTTTTAATAATAACAAAGTATAGTAACTTTTAACAAACTCATTTTGATTTTGATAAATCTTATAACAGTGAAAAGAATGAATTCTACGAACCCAAATTCTATTTCATGCTATATTCAAAAGACATCTGTTTCCACCACAACATTTTGAATCATGAGCCTATATATGGATTTGTGTTTTGTAAGCAAAGTCAGCATTTACGATTTGTTCAACCACCGGTGTAAGTGTCACACAAAGATTATTTGGAGTAGTATTTTTCTCTAGTAATCAGCCAAAACCAAATATGTAGGTGGTAACCAAGTTAGATTACGTATGTGGATTTAGTCCACTTCTTTGGATTTCTGGTAGGCCTTTATAGATATTAGATAGGCCTTTTTAGGCCCTTGGTGAAATGTAGCACTCATATTACACAAATGATATGACACTCATAGCCATTTTAATTAAATTTCCCATTTAATTTTAAGGTATATGCACCATCCCCAAGTTCAGATGATTTCAACCGTGAATCTCCTAGTTATCCATCTCCCAAGCCACCAACCAGTATGTTTGCTAGCACTTTCTTTATGCAGGGTAAGTACTGCTTGATAGTTGTCAATCCTACAGCAGTTTATCTATTGTATATTAACTACTATTTTAAAACTGTGAGGAAAGAGAATACCTACACAGGTATTCACATGTATAAATGTATGAATGTATGTATGAATTCAGGTGTATCTATGCATTTGGGGCCAAAGTAAATTAAAATTTCTAATGTTATATATTGCTGATTGCAATATAGTCGGAATATCCAGCAAACGTTTGGAGTGCCTATCTAGTATTGATTGAACTTATAAAGGACTTCATTTGAGAAAAATGAGTAGAGCTGCTCTTTCTCATAGAATTTAAGTGAATGAAAGCTATTAACAACTCTTTCTTATTTAAATTGCAGACTCAGGTCACCCCTAGAATGATCAATATAAATACAGTGAATATCATAGAACAAATTAAGACTTGTTCAGAGAGAAAAAGTGTTGCATTTCCTTTAATTCCTATCTTGCGTTTTTATTTGGTCTCCTGTGGTTTTGGACTATGGGGAGCATATACTATGGGAGCAATAAATCACTACATAAACGCTTCCTTGACTTTACACTGGTGAGTGAAGTCATTGCTAACACATTTCATTTGAAGACTGTCTATAGTATAGTCATTATCAATTTCTTATGTTTACTGTTAGAGAAACTTATTTATTCCACAGTTTCATAATTTTTTATAATAACGCACATTGCTTGTTATAAAGAACTTTTTTGTATATTTATGGGTATGCCATTTAACCAAAATTAAATCCAACCTATCCCCAAATTTGAGATTTTTTTTATCCTGCTTGATATGAATTTAGATCTTCTAAGGATTTTTATAACAATATACCGACTACAGTTTGGATTGTTTTTTTTCTCCTCTAACTATAAAGCCTTATTCCTTCTTTTTAAATAGTAATTACACAGTTTGGAGGGAAGAAAAGTAGATGGAAGACTGAGTCAGAAGGGGCAGGGAACGAGTATCTGGAGGGTACCCTTTGGAATTCTCAGAGCATCATCTAAATAAAAGAAAACGTTTTAGCTAAGGAAAATTTTATATTTCTCTTTTCGTCTTAGATGGGACCCACAATTCTTCTGACCTTTGGAGTTCATCAAATGGGATGAGCCAGCCTGGTTTTGGTGGAATTCTGGGGACCTCCACTTCCCACATGTCTCAGTCCAGTAGTTACGGCAGCCTTCATTCACATGACCGCTTGGTAGGCTGTAACACATGACTAGGGTGCGGCAGCACTTTGTCCTCACTTGTGTTTCTCTTTGGATTACAAGTGTAAGATTTGATTCTGCCAAAACTTGTGACATGTAAATACTTCAGGGCTTACTGCATTTAGCCTGCCTTTTTAAAAAGTACATGACAATAGTAACGCTTTATAGCTGCCAGCTTGTAATGTTCTTTTTGACCTGTTGTCATAGTTGTCCAGCCATATGTGCAGAAAGTGTATTTAATAGATTATGTCTCTTTCCTCCTTTCTCTAGAGCTATCCTCCACACTCAGTCTCACCAACGGACATAAACACGAGTCTCCCGCCAATGTCTAGCTTCCATCGTGGCAGTACCAGCAGTTCGCCATACGTTGCTGCCTCACACACTCCTCCCATCAATGGATCAGATAGCATTCTCGGTGAGCTGCTTTGGGTTGGCACAACTTCCTAAAACCTACTTTGGGGATTTTCAATGAGCCCCACATCTTTCGATGTATTTTTTAGTATTGAGTCTAAAAATGAAAGGAAGGAAGAAAAGCTTTTAAATTTTCATTAATGTAAAAACTGGTAAGGAACCCATCTTAAATTAGCTCATTACATACAACACATATACAATATTTGGTGATTTATTGTGACTGTGTGTGAGATAACAGTAAAGAACACCCTTGAAATCATGGCAGAATGCTAAAAAAAAAAAAAAAAAGTCTGCCTGCTAAAATTCTTTGTTTTTTACCTGAAATATTCAGGAACCAGAGGGACTGCCGCTGGAAGTTCACAGACAGGTGATGCACTTGGAAAGGCTTTGGCATCTGTGAGTATTGATTTTAAATATTTTGCTGAATGAATTTTACACTGCTAAACAGTATTTTGTGGACAGTATGTCATAAAAGGTGTAGTTATAACAAAATCAACTTCATAACTCATTTAAAGCTATTCTTGGTTTATATTGATTCATGCTGCCCTTAAAATAACTCAGGAAAACACCTTCCAACCCCACTCCCGCAAGACCTATCCTTCTAACTTCAACTTAAATATGTTTGACTTAATGGAACAGATGTAGTAGAAGGAAGAGAAATTTGGGCATCTTTAAATTTAAAACAAATTACTGAGATTAATAATTAAATGTACTTATTAGTTTTAAATACATACTTAGTAAGTTGCCCATTCAAGTAAGTCAAATGAAACCAAGAAAGACAACTCATTCATTCTTCACTTATTCTGCTGGTCCACAGAAGAAAGTGCCTTCATGAGAAATTTTTCCAAGACAAAAAGTAGCTTACATATTTTTTAAAAGGGAAAGTCATCTGCAACTGATTCATTCAAAAAATAGGAAAGGAGAGTCTTCCCAAAAAAAGCCAGATTCATTGAAGGAACTAATGCTAACATGAGTAAAACTGATTTAAAGGAATCTCATAATGTTTTCTTGAGCAGCTAATTTATATCATATCAGATCATTAATGAGAAAGCAGTGATTGTTTTAATAGCTAGCTGATCCTTAAAATATCAAAACTAAAATCCCTTCTTTTGGAATTATTTTGGGAAAGTGTTTGCTAATAATCCACAAAGACTCCAAATCTAATTATTTAAAAGAAGCCCTTCTGCTTTGGACTTTATGAATTTGTCTCCTAAGGCTTTTTATTTCTTTTCTTTTTTCCGCTTAAATGTTATGCCTCTCAAAATTCCCACAGAATTGTCCTACATTTTCTATGAGGTACAGTTAAACTCTATCAGACAACATTTACTGCTGTTCCTGGGGAAGGCAGACCACTTAATGTGTGAATAGAGGAAGCAGCCATTGAACATTTAAAGAGATAAACCTCTTTGTGTCTAGTTTCTGTAGATAAACCTTTCTCTGCATCCCAGTACAAGTTTCTTGAGAAATAAAGCCAAGGCAAACTCATCAACCACATAGTGGAGCACCCCACAAAACAGTGCTCAATAAATGTTTGTTGAATTGAGTCTTAACATCATATGACAAAAATAGTGACGATAATAACAAAACCCACAAAAATACCAGCTATAATTTGAATCTTTACTAGGCGCTATGCATTATACTTAGCATTTACGTGCTTTGTTTCATTTAATCCTCAAGAAAACCCTGTGAGGTTGGCATTATTATCCCCACATCAGAGAGAGGAACTAAAGTTTAAAAGGTTAAGTAACTTCAGCTCAGAAAGATTAAGTAGTTTGTCCTAGGGATCACCAAGCTAGGAAGGGTAAAGCCCATATATATTAGGTTAGAACCTTGATCTGACCAGCTTCACTACTGTTTTTTCAGAAAGAGAATGCTCTGAGTGTTGTTTTACAGGGTGTTGATGAGGATTAAAGGAAGTTGTCCTACTTTTTCTGGACTCACTCCCACCTAATGAAAACTACCTGCTTAAAAATAAAATTCTATAATATTAAATCTGAATGCCTCCTGGGTATTTGATTGGCTTGCCATATTTGTTCTGCTGATTCTGAAAGAATCCAATAGCAGATATTTCACAAGTAGGAAGAGAAATTACATTGAACTTTCAATTCTAGGCAACTTTAAAAAATACAACCTGCATTTTGAGGGCTTTTTTCCTCAAAACTCTTTTGTTTATTTTATGCAAGGAAAACTTCTATAAAGGAACCTTGGTGGGTAGGCACGCAACAATTTGTGATGTTCTCAGTGGTCCTTCAGGCTCCCTTTCAGTTACCCTTCTAGTGGTTGACTGTTTTCCCATATTATGACCAGCATACTAGCCAAACCAATTGGCATTAGGAAAAAAAATTTCTCTGTGAGTGGAAGCCAGGGAAGAATGTCTAATCTAGTTAGTGGGTGGGCTTTGGTTGTCATGGAAACCCAGTTCTGTCATCCTATGTTGTTACTAGGCAGGAGCAGCCAGGTCATTCCATAAATCATTTCTGTCATAGCTGACGGTGATGCATTCCATCTGCTCCATCACTGCGTGCCATAGTCTGCACATTTGAAAATCCCTTCCTTCAACCCATCTGCCGCCCCCTCCCCACCAGACACCTCCCTAAACACATTCTTTTCTCTAACTTCCATTACAGATGCACGTTCACTTTAGTGCTCACAAAATGTACTGAAAAACAAAAACATTACATGGGGAATAGGAAAGATTAGAAGAGATGAGGAGAAGGAATTTTCTGAGGATTATATTTGAGAGTTTAACACACACATCAGAATTTTATGTTAGGTATTACAGATACTTGGAAATGGTGACCATGGGTATTTTGAAATTTTAAGTTCTTTAGAATATGACATTTTGAATATAGCATCTAGTTTTAGATGGAGAAAACACCATGCATTGTCATTAGGAGTTATTTCTAGCTCTTCAGTCGTCTGATACATGTCTCAAAAGGTCTTTCATGTGTGAAACATCACAGGGTACAACCTTTGTTCTTTAGGTATTAAAAAGCACACAGAATACTGTGATTAAACATGTAAGGCCAGATAATACATTTGCAAAGGTTCCTTTATTTTAGGTTTAAGCCAGGATAATTGTGGTCTTAATCTCAGGATAGCTAGAAAGAGAATTGTACATGAAAGTATTTACACAAAGTTCCCAAAGCCCTGTGGATTATGCATTAGTTTAGATAATAAACTAGAGTAGATAGAAGGAAAGGAAAATCTGGGTATTCGTGCCATTTCTAATGTGTTTCCCTGAACATTTGCCAGACAATAACCCTTTAAGATTGTGCCCATGGAGAGTTATATAGAGGAAGAAACATCTGGTTTATTTCAGTGCCTAATACCATATCAAAACACTTGGTCTTTAATTTAGAGGAGATCAAACAAGAGGACTGTTTAACTTTGTTGATTATATCAGACTTCTTTGTGATAATTTATGTTTTGATTTCTACCTCCGAGCAAAGGAGAGAGAAAGAGAGTGTGTGTGTGTGTGTGTGTGTGTGTGTGTGTGTGTGTGTGTGTGTGTTTTAATCTGGATAGTTAAATGGTCAGTAGTCTCTAACAAAAGAAGAGAAAATTCAGGGAAGTTGACGTTTAAAAGTAATTCATGAAATAAGTTTCTTTGTTCCTTAGACTCAATAACATTAGCATAATAAAGATTAACTGAAATGTGCACTGTAGTGTTTAAAAAATTGGGCTCACAGTTCTAAGGTTGGGCTTGGGAGCCCTCCATTGTTTCTTTTTTGTCTGAGGCCCTTTTCATTAGCTTCTGGCTTATTGGCACCCTGCTGATTGGAATGGACCATGACTGATAGGAGGAGGAGCCTCATTTGTTGCAGTAAAATGAGGCATATTACCGGTTAAGCCTGGCAGAAGGTATTGGGAGTTATTCATCATTGGTCATTTAACAGTACGAGGACCATGGACTGCATGCAGAATGAGTTCTTACTTTGTGTTTATGCTTTAGATTCTAAATCACTCCCATCCCCATTTTTTAAGTGACTGACTTTTTTTTTTTTCTTTCAAATATCAGTGTTGGAGTTCTTTAAGGTCAGAAAGTACAAGAAGTACTGAAATCCTGATTTAGAATGTTCATTATCCAGTAAAGCCTAATGTTAGAATTTCTTAAAAGTAACAACAGTTTCTATAGAATAAATATAATTTGTATGTGGTTGGTGATAGAATAAACATAGAGAGGTGAAGTTTAGTGAATTGATCTGTGATCTAAAAGGCTGTATTATCCTGTTTTTTTAATGTTGTATTGCTCCTTCTCTCCCCACATACCCATTCTTTTTATGAAAGTAAAAGAAGAAAAAGTCCTGTAATTTGCCAGGCTGTCTGTCAGTTCAGGAAAAGTATTAATAACAATTCTGTCTGTCATCACTTTAATTTAGGGCAAAGTAGAACTAGACAGTGTGGTGGGTGAGTGGAGAAAATGCCTTTTATTACACAAATGGAGAAGCTGCTTTTGAAAAAACACCACATTATATATTTTTATACTTGATATGTTTTATACTTGATATGTGCCTTTACAGTGATTTTTAAAAGCCCTCATTTGCTAGTCTTGATAGTCTACTTATATCCTCAAAAACCCATGCCTGCCCAACAATGTAGTATGGACAGCTTCGTACATCAACACTAATTCTCAAAAATAGTAGAACATCACCATATCATTGTTCTCAAAGCTTGTAACCACAAAAGTGATTTGTAGATGAATTCACCTTTATAACAAGATCTTTTAACCCCTTTGGTAGTTCTGTTACTGAACCCCATTACATAAATACTAAGATAAATACTACCATTTACTGAGTCTTGCTTTTTATCAAAAAGCATGTATAGCAAATTTCAAGTGCAGTTTAATTGCTCAAGTCTCTTTAAAAAAAATAAATACTGAGCACCTACTTGCATAAGACAATGATAGGCAATGATGGATTCAGTGCAGAATGATGTGAGGTCTCTGCCTTTAAAGAGCATACAGTCAAGGAGAGAAGACATGACACACATACTAAAAATGTTAATGTTTAAAATAACGTGAAGTAAAAGACCAAAGAGAAATATAGTTTATTCTAAGAGTGTGAAGGAGGTGAAGATGAGTGTAAAGAGGGAGATGATGTGTGAACTGGGCTCCCATGTGGTTTAGAATTCCATCAGGGAGAAATTAAGAAACTGGCATTTTGAAAGGACAAGCTGTGTTCAGAAAATGAAAAAAAAATACATATTTTGTTTGGATAATAGGGTACAAAATGTTACAAGTAGGCTATAAGTTAGATATTATTGTGACCAGATTAGGGAAGATCTCAAATGTCATTCTGTTCTATTTAGTGGGCTGCAGGAAGCACTGTGTGGGATTTGACTGTTTAAAACTGGTTGGGAACAATAACTCTGGCAATTATATAAGGGGTGAAAGGAGCAGGGAGTAACTAGATATATAAAGACTTAAATGATCCATTTTCAAGTTCTAGTAAAGGTTTAAAGCAGTGTCATGGTGATGAGAAGGACGTGTGCCTATCCCAGAGACCTTCTAGAGAATGGTAGGTATTGGCAGTCTGTGGTGGGGAAGGGTGGAGGGGAGAAGTTGGAGAAAGAGAGTGATATTGGTGACCATGAGAATGCCGATGCTGAAGTAGAGGAAACAGAAGAGTAAAGATGGGAAAAGGTAGGAAGCTTGGAGCAGTGATGCAAAGTTTGGCTTGACATAACGAGCTTGAAATGAAAGAATATGTCCAGATGGAGAAGTCCAGCAACCATTGTGAGGATAGAAATGTCAACTTAGTAGTCATTCACAGAGATGTCATAGTTGATACTTTACAGAAGTGATATTACCAGGAGATAAAACACAGGTGAATAGAAAAGAAAACTGAGACTAGAGCTTTTAGGGAAATCTATATTAAGAAACTGGAAGTGTGAAAGAGAGATGGAGCCTATGTATTCTACATCCAGTGATTTAAGAGAAATACTCAAATAGAAACTTCTCACAAGGATAATAACCATTCATTCTTTCAACAAGTATATATTTACCAGCACTGTTGGTACTGCAAGCTACTGCAAATCCTGTACAATTCAAATTTTGTCTGAATAAGACAAAGTCCTTGCTCTTCTGGAGCATACATTTTACTGAGGTAAAAATGTAAGAGACAGATAATAAAACAAATAAGCAAGTTTAGACAGTTAAGGATTAATGTAAACACTATGAGGAAACAACAAAACCAGGAGGGTATGACAGAGAGGCAGTACTGTTTCTCCAATGCTTTCCTGCTGTTAATCTTTACAAGGAAATAAAAAATCAGTGAGTATGTCTAGTTTATGATAAGAGGGAGTTTTGCATGAAACTGAAACTTTCCTCACTGCTCATGCACCCACCATCAATGTTGTCAACTCTTCCCTTCCTTACCAATATTACAGTTAAGGCATGTTTCATAAAAGTTAGCATCAGGTGTTCCTAAAAGTTATAATTACTTGAATCTTAAATGTGAGAAATAGTGATTTATAAAAGTTAAGGGTTATGTTGAGATATGTTTTTGTTGAAGTGTGGTGACCTCATCTAATTTACACATATGGTTTAAATTACTTTGTGTATGTAGCCCACTAGGAACCAAAATGTGACCTTTAGCTAATTTTCACATGCATATCCTGATTTTTTACAAGGTAACAACCTTAAGACCAATAGTATTGATCTTAATATAACACACTACCCTCCCTGTTACTCAGTCCTTCCATAATGTCCTTTGAAGTCTTCTTGATAGTTTTGCTTTTCCAAAATGGCTTTTTAACTTGAATATACAACTTCTAGATCTGGCTGTTTGGTGAGATTTGGTGATTGAAGGCATTTACAGTTAGAATTTAGTAACATTATACAAATTGGTGTGTTTTCTTTGAGGTAGATATATCCATTTGTAGTCAAAGGAAAATGGTCTCTCTGGCTGCTTACAATTCATTTAATACTTTCTTCTTTTTAAAAATAAAAGCTGTTGTGTTTAATGATTATAACTTGTGGAGTTTTGTTTTACATGAACCTGCCCCAGTTTCTGGCTTTCTCAGCATATTACACTGTGTTTGAAACCAGTGCTGAGACCCCCTTGTTTGCCATAATTAGGACCTCATTAAATTCATTACAAGTCTAAGCTCATTCAGAGAAAGAGTATTTCTATTGGATGACTCCTTTCACCCACAAGTAGTTTTCCTTTTTAAATTCATTCACATAAGTTGATTTGCTGCCCTAAGTTAAGTGTTGAGATATGAAGATGGTTTATTATGCTCATTATAGAGATAGAATTGTCATAGAGAAAACTTCCTAGGGACTCTTAATACTTGGATTAAAGAGACTTTTAAAATATTTAATGGCTAATTAGGTAAACGTGTCACTATTGTCTGTCACTTTTTGTTTGCAATATGAAATAAATATAAAATATTGCGGCAAAACTTAGCCAAAATACCAAAATTTATGCATTCAGGTGTTATCTTATTTGAAGTGGACCTCTTAGGAAGTGAAGTCCATAAATCATTTTGGGAACATTTTCTGAAGGACTTTTAGGGTTTCTTCCACTTTCCTCAAGGGTGACAAAATATCCTTTGAGAGCAAGCTTGATTTTGCACAATACGTTTGTAGCTAAATTTGGCAAAAATGTAGTTGGTCATACTGAGAACTTTCTATTTTTTTATTTTTTTAATGTTTTTTTTTAATTTTTTTTTAACGTTTATTTATTTTTGAGACAGAGGGAGACAGAGCATGAACGGGGGAGGGTCAGAGAGAGGGAGACACAGAATCTGAAACAGGCTCTAGGCTCTGAGCTGTCAGCACAGAGCCCGATGCAGGGCTCGAACTCACGGACCGCGAGATAATGACCTGAGCCAAAGTCGGCCGCTTAACCGACTCAGCCACCCAGGCGCCCCTTTAATGTTTATTTTTGAGAGAGACAGACAGAGTGTGAGAAGGGAAGGGGCAGAGAGAGAGGGAGGGAGACATAGAATCCGAAACAGGCTCCAGTTTCTGAGCTGTCAGCACAGAGCCTGATGTGGGACTCAAACTCAAAAACTGCGAGATCATGACCTGAGTCAAAGTCGGATGCTTAACCGATTGAGCCACCCAGGGGCCCCAAACTGAGAGCTTTTTAAATGAGAAATAAAGGGTAACTATTTAAAAAAAATATTTTCTTTGGCCTTTAAAACTGTTTTTAAAGACTGTTGTCTTCAAAAGGTAATAGTTTCCTGAGATAATTATTTTTAATGGATATCACTTATTTAGATGATATATTCTAGAAAGATTATTAGACTTAACTTTATTTTTTTTTTTAATTTTTTTTTAACGTTTATTTACTTTTGAGACAGAGAGAGACAGAGCATGAACAGGGGAGGGGCAGAGAGAGAGAGGGAGACACAGAATCTGAAACAGCCTCCAGGCTCTGAGCTGTCAGCACAGAGCCCGATGCGGGGCTCGAACCCACGGACTGTGAGATCATGACCTGAGCCGAAGTCAGACGCTTAACCAACCAAGCCACCCAGGCGCCCTAGACTTAACTTTAAAGTCACTTCTCTTTTTTGTTCTAACAGAAACAAATAATTTTCAACTATTGATAATAAATGGATATGATTTATTTATTCCTCTCTTATTAGAGTATATATGATCCTTTTTTTAAGGATTCTCTGTGTCCAACATGGAGCTCAAACTCATGACCCCAAGATCAAGAGTCACATGCTCTACTGATTGAGTCAGCCAGGCACCCCCAGAATATAGAAGACTTTTTAATCCTAGTTTTAAAACTGTAAACAGCCTTTATGTAATGAAATAGTCCTAAATTGAAGAAATAAATTTTTCATTCTGAGTTTTATGGGTGGCAACTTAGATTATAAAAATAACTCCATTCAAATGGATTTATATTTTTGTTGTCACATATTGATACATGCATATTTTGTTTTCTGGTTAGATTTATTCTCCTGACCATACCAGCAGTAGTTTTCCATCAAACCCATCAACACCAGTTGGATCACCCTCACCTCTCACAGGTAGGCTGCTCTTTTATCTATCGACTTAAAAACATGCATGGAGCTACTTTGAAATATTTGAACTTTGTTTATTTTCCAATAAAATACAGTAAAAGTTCATGATAAAATTATCTGAATTTTGAGAAAACGTGTAAACAGAGCCTTCTCGAGTTCATTTTGGAGAATAATGAAATATTTGCTAGCTGTGAATTACTCTTTTCTGATTCTTAATTTGGTATAATTTCTAAGAACAGTTGTTTTAACAGGATAAAAATAAGGCTAGACATTTGGGATGAAAGCAAAATACAGAGGTGGTAAATCAAAATTTTGGGTAAGGTGGCATAGAAAGTATACAAAATAATCTATTTAGAAGTACATGTAACTTCTTTCTTCCTTATTCTCTGCACTTTCCATGTACCACTTGTAGGACTCAGAGATTAATAACTTTCTGCTAGATAGCTTCTCT